GAAGAACAGAATCTTTACAGAAAAAAAAATTCAAAAACATTCGCCAACAGCTTTTTTATGGTACTTGTAGCAGGAGGTGCAACAGTTGTATGAGCCAGATGAACTTGCTGTTTGTGGAGCAGATAGTGGTGTTGCTAGGCTTCTGTGATGGAGAGGGAATGCACGATTACTCTCCTAGGGTATGTTATTCTCCAGTTTATATATTACTTGTGATGCCTACAAAGGTTGTTCTCATTGCAAAACAGGTGATGACTTTGTAATGTTCATCTGTAATAAGACCAGTATTCTGGAATTATGTGCCTTGAGTAGTACTTCTGTTGCCTGTCTTCGCAGAGTGTTTCCTTGTCTGACTCAGCCCTGTAAAGCAGTTGCTACCTAGTTGGTGATGTTAGTTACTGTTTCTCTGCAGCAAGTCCCACTGCTTGAAATTTCTAAAGAAACTAGTTTTCTGTTCTCCACCTGGTGGCTGGAGGCAAGACAGCAGAAGAGCTGCCCTTTACCAAACTCAGGCTTGCAATGAGGAGACTTTTAAAGATGAAGCAACATAAAATTTAATTGTCCTTCCACTTCTGGTTGCAAAATGTAATTTCGTTAACGCGTTGAACCTGCTTTCTCCAGTGCATGTCTTTTCTTCAGAAGAGCCCTTTGTTTTGGGGGATATGGAGAACAAGGCCTTGAGCGTATGTAAGAACAATGGAAATGTTCTTAATTCTGCTCTCCAAGTGATATGTGTGCGTCTTGACAGAGGCAGATACAGAGACTGAGGAGGTGCACGGTGGAGGTTTGTCAGTTGCTGGAGGCCTGGCACAGCTGAATACACAGTGTAAAGCTGGCTGCTAAGAAGTCTTGCTCTTGGCGTATTTCTGAGCTTTCTCCAGAACCAAAAATCAGGACTCGAGACAGCTTATCGATGAAAAGAGGACTAGCAGCAGCCTTCTTGGCACCAGTCTAGAATTTGCTTCCCTACTTTGCCCTGCCCCACTTTGTTCTTTACTTTGCAGAGAAAACATAAACCCTGTTAGCCTGTGTGTGTGTGTTTGTTTATTTGTTTGTTTTCAGGCCTTTTTTTTTTTTTTTTTTTTACAAGCCTGAGTGTTCTGCTGGGATTTGATAAGAAAAGTAAAAATCCAGCCACCCTAGTCTCCTCATCTTCCTCCACACCACTTTCATTTACTAGCAGTTAGCAAGCTTTTAGCTCTCTGCACAGGCAGCTGGCCTGCTGTGTACTGAATACAGAGTTGTCAAAGTGCTGTCTCTTCCACTATTGCTGCTGTGGCAGCAGAGTCCAGAGCCAGCCCTTCTGGGAGAGCAAAGCCACTGACTTTTCTGTGCGCTTCCCACTGGAGACAGCGTGGAGATGCTGAAATCCAGACTGCGTAGATTCTGGAGGCTGTAGTTTTCCTCATTTGTGCTTGGGGATGATCTTGTTTTGCTCTCCCTTATCAAATTATATTACCTTGAGTTTCTCTATGTGCCAGCATGTGTGTGTAGTACAAGGGCTGCATGTATATGAAGGCTTTAGAGGCTGCAAATAGCATGAGATTTTTGACTCTAGTAGTATTATGGGAGAACTATTTCTTCTCTCCACTTGTCTCCCTAGGAATTGCATGTAATGCCTCTGAGCTTTCTCAAATGTATGCTGACTGGAGTTACCAGTGGCAGTTCCTTTCTGCCTGAAAAATTATGTTCTTTGTGCTAGTTTCTGAAGTCTTCTGCTTAAGCCTTCTGCTTTGGGCTGTTGCCCAAGTCCTTGGGTGGTTAGCAAGGGTCATGTCATTTGCCTGGAGTCAGGGCAGCCTCTGCCTGCTGTAGGTTGGACCACCCAGAGCAGCAAAAGGCCAGCTTGCAGGTCCTCCTTTGCTAATATTTTGTTACAGTCATTACTGTGTGGCAAATATTGTAGGCAACCTGTGTCTTCCAAGTGGAGTTTACGGTAGTAGGAGGGATTATGCCCACAAATGTGTGTGATTTGCCAGGGCAGCACTTCTCCTTAGTATATATTCTGGTCTGCCTTCATAGCTGTACTAGAAAATTTTGGGTCTGTGAAAATACAGCTTCGCTAGTACCAATAAGTAGAATGCATTTGCACCAAATTAATTGCATTAGGATTTCTGCCTTTTGAGTCTGGGCAAGTCTTATCTCTCATCAACTTTCTTTTCTTTCAGAATGTGTTGCAGGGAGGTGCTTTGCTATTAATTTCCTGTGCTCTGTGGCTTATTTAGGAGGTGTTGCCATTTCTGTAAATAAGGTTTCTTTAAGAATCTGGAGTTTTGTGTATAGGATTTTGAAAGGTTTTCTATGGTTTTGTCTCCCCAGCTGTTTTCTGGATAATCTTCTGGAGGTCAAATTGCTAATTATTTCCCCCTTTTCTGTAGGTGCTGTGATTGGGGATGGACAGTCAGCTGTGGCCAGCAACATTGCCAACACCACCTACCGGCTCCAGTGGTGGGACTTCACTAAATTTGATCTGCCTGAAATCAGCAATGGTAAGCTGGAAAGGTCACCAGTACTTTCTTTTAAGTCTATACCAACCAGAACTACCATAAGCTCTAGGATCTTCCAAAGGTAGCTGTATGTTGCAGGCCTTGGATATGTGATTGTCTTGTTGCATTGGGAACTGTAAAATGCTTAGCCTTTTGAGAAAGTTGACTAAAAGCATGCAGGCTGTTCCTGCTCTGTCTAGCTTGTGTATTCTTGCTATCAGCAAATCTATGCATAAATGGGGCTTTTTTTGTGAGCATTCTCATGGGAAGATACAATCCTCTTAGAAGAATTCTGTATCCAATCTCCTCATTCTTTGACTGACAAGTTTCTAGAGGGATATTGTCTTTATACCTTTACATTAGAACCTACTAATAAATTGGGCCTGAATTCTCAAACTTACTGACATTAGTGTGGGTTAAAGTGCTGCAATACATTCTGGGAATCGGGGTCCTGGTCTGTTGCTTACCACAGTGTTGCAAGCCAGGGGAAGTAGATATAGCTTCTAGCCATTTGCAAAAGCAGTGGTTCGTCCCATATCTCAGGTTAAAGCTGCTTCTGGGTCAAGAATATGAGCAATATTTCTGAATTATTTATTTATTTATTCTCTCCTTTCCTTTGTGAAAATTAGACCATAGTTTTACATATGTTCTATGGCATAAGCTAGCTCTCACACTGGAAGAGACTTCCTTATGCAGACACAAGAATATTTGATGCTTGTGGTCAGCTGATCAAGGAATGACTTTTTCAGGACTAAAACTACCTTGACTAGAAAGTCTATTTTTAACCCAGAATAGTATCCTGATATAGCTTGCTGTACAGCTGCAGAAATATTTGTGGCAGCCTGGATTGAAGATAGGAGGTAGATACTCATTCTTTGTACGGTGATTTTTAGCTTAGGCCATCTCTGTGCATAGGTGAAATTCATTGCTTGACTTCTCAGCAAAAACTGATTGGATCCTGCTTTAAGGGAGTGACTTCTTTTTAGGGATAACAGGGATTCTGTTTTTGGAAAGACTTCTGCTTTCACAGGTAGCCACCAAAACAAATTAAGAAAAAGTTTCTCCCAGTCCTAGACCTGTCTGTTCTGCAATTCTAGAAATTACATATCTGACAAGAGAGGTCTCTGTGGGATACTGTCCTGTTGCTTAAAGAACCCACAAAAGGAGCACATGTAGTGACGCCATAGCAGTAGAGATGTGGGGAATTGAAATCATAGAATCACAGAATGGTTTGGATTGGAAGGGATCTTTAAAGGTCATCTAGTCTACCCGCCCTGCCGTGCACAGGGACGTCTTTCAGTAGATCAGGTTGCTCAAAGCTCTGTCCAATCTGACCTTTAACGCTTCCAATGATGAGGCATCCACAACTTCTCTGGGCAGCCTGTATGGAGCCATTTACCTCCCAGTCCCTGGGAAATCAGAGGAGCTGGGGGAAAGCCACCAGTAACCCATCCCATTACAAAAACTTCCTTACTGTGTCGTTGCTAGAGATAAAGTATCCAGCGTTTCTGTCTCATCTTCCTTCACACTGTATAGAATATTGTGGTGTGATGTTTATAGCCTGGTGGAAAGTAAGAGCCCTGCTTCTAGATGGTAGCCCGCAACATTGTAAAGGGGGAAGGTTTTATATTTTGTCCTGGAGAACCATTCTGTCTCTTGGGAAGGAGCACACAGTGTCATCTTGAAAGTAGAATACTGTGTTGAACTCATGTGCCAGTGCTTTGACGTGTCTTGTTAAACGCCAAACTTTGAAGTACTAATGTAAAGTTGTAGGCTGAGGATCAGTGCTCGAGGCAAAGTTTTGCCACGCGGTGGCAATACTTCCGTGGTCCAGCCAGACTCTGGAACAGAATAAAGATGAAGTCAGAAGGGGAAAGCATCTTGCGGCTGACGTAAATGCTTTGGGACTTCTCTGCAAGCTTGTAAAGTATTTGAAGAGTGTTACAGCTGCTAATAGCCTTTTTTTTTTTTTTTTTTTTTTTTTTTTTTCTCTTTTTTGTCTCTCTGGCTGCTGAGAAGACTGCTGATTTAAAAAAAAAAAAAAAAGCATAAGATGTTTGTTTATAATTTATGGAATCCCATAGAAAATAAGAACCATCTGCTCCTCAAGACATCAATATTTCAATCTTCTCCCTCTCCCCTACCAGGACACTTCCATTCTGAAATAGCTTCCAATTAGCTGGAAATTGGGCTATGGTTTTTGTTGTCATTGGGCCCTTCTTGCAGGCAGGTTTACTGCTACAAGCCCATGCCCAGCCCTTCTGACTCCCCACTTTGTGCTTCATAGTACTTGGCTTTTCCATCTTTATTACCATTTGGAAATATTCAGTTTTAACTCTGCTGCTTCCTTTTTACATGCTGAGCCAAACTGGCATTTCTGGGTTGTTAGCCCTATCTCCCTCTGCTAAGGTCTAGTAGGGATATATGAAGATGTAGCAGCTGTGCTCATCCTACAACAGATATTTGCCAAGCTTGACTAGGCACAGAACAAAGGCAAGCTGCAAGTTCGCCAAGGTGCACAAATTTGTAGAGATATTGTGAAGCTGCATGTGTAACGCTGGAGTGGTGGGTTGGAGGAGTTTTTTCTGACTCTTCATGATCTTGGAAATAAACTATTTTCCCAGTAAAGCATGTGACCTCAATAGCTCTTTTTTTTCCATCATTTCCTATAAATCAGAGGTGGTCATGTGAGAGAGTCTGCTTACACAGAGGGGGCTATTGCACTTCCTGGGACTGACTTGAGCCACAAGTGGTTTAGGAGTTCAGGCAGATGAAATGATGCAGCTGAAGTTTGGGACTGCCTGCCAGCTCCACTCTCCATCAAAGAAATTACTCTGTGGCCAACCTCCATCTCCGAGCAGCTCTTCTTCCTGTTAAAATTAAACAAAGAAAAGATAGTTTGGAAGTAGGATGTTTTCCACTGAAGCGGATGCATCTGAGCAAGTGACAGCAGCGTGATGAGCACAGTCCTGTGATCTCAGCAGCTGGGCCCCAGCACCCTTCGGAGCCCTGGGCTCAGGACTCTGCTCCACCGCAGCGACCTCGCTAACGCTCTGTCCAGCAAGAGCACGAAAGAGGACTCTGACGGGCTTGGGGAAATGGCTTTGCAGGGACTTGTGGGATTTTAGTCTCTGCCCTGTTTTTCTCTATTAATTGCAAAATGGAAAAAGGTGGCTTCAGATTTCTTCTCTCCTTTTGCCAGTTTTGTTTTTAATAACTCTGAAATGAACATGACACGGTCTTAAACTGTAATTGTCAGTTGTATCAGCTTTGGGGTGGGGAATTTATTTGGCAGCAGAGACAATGCTATCTCTGGCATTTATTTAATGTTCTTCTAGTAAGTGTTGCAGATCCTTAAAATTTCCCACAGCTAACAGGTAAGTATTGAATCGGTGAACAGTGTAGAATATAGCCTTTCCACAGATAAAATGTTTGAAGGTTTTGTCTCTTGTTTAAATCTGTTGAATATAGTTTCTCTCACGCTAGTCTCTGCTTGTTATTTCATTTTCTAGCCATTGTGGCTGAACTGGTCTAGTTCTTTCACATTTAGTCACGCGACAGGAATTTGTCCTGTTCTAACACTGGCTGGGACTTGAGGAGGGTTATTTGATACTTACAGATCCACAGTGGGATGCAGAAGAACTTAAAAGAAGAAAAGGAAAAAAAAAAAAAGCATGCTAAACAACATATAAATAGGAGCAGCTGTTAAGAAAGTGTCATCCTTAAGGGTGACTAGGAGTGGATGGTGTACCCAGCACTGTTTTCCTTTGGCAAAGAGTGCTGTTGCTGCCGGCGTTCCAGGCCTTCCCCAGCTTCAAGCGTAATTATGCTGTAGGTGTAAGCACTCCAAGTTGGCACAACAGCCTGATTAATTTGTTCTCTGATGTTTCCTTTGATCTGTTCTGTCAGCTCGGTGGCTGCATTAACAACAAAAGAAAACAAGAAATGAAAGGGCAGCCTTGTTGTAAATGGTTTTCCAAAAATAGCATTTCTTTTTTCCTTAAAATCTTCTGTATTGGCTTCATTTTCATAGATCAGGCCTCAGGCTCAAAGAAATCAAATAGCCTGTGGCTTTGTCAAATGCATGGGTATCTTCATCCCCCCCTTGTCTTGGAAATCTCTTAGATGCTGTTCCTTAAAATGAAACCTTGTTGAGATCTCCACCTCTCACATTTAGACTTTTTCTGCTGGCACAGTAGGCTCCCTTGGTTCTAGGTGTAAGTGCTACCTGAGTCCCTCATCCTTTGTAAATGAGGGAAGAGCAAAGAACCATAATGCCAGCGTGAATCAGATCTCGAAAGACTGAAATAAAGGGCACTCTTTGTTGTTCAGCGCAGCTCGCATCTGTGATGTTATATGTTCCAGGCACACATCAAGGGGGAAAGATAGTTCATTTCTGGCAGGGGAGCTCACAATCTGTTTTACTAAGAGGCATTCACCATATGCAACAAACTTTAGAAAGAACAAGACACGCAGTCATGTTGGCCATCATTGTGGACTGCTCACCACAAACCTCTGTGCTGTGCTGAAGGAGGGGCGGGTGGGAAAAAAAAAAAAGGAAAAACGGTGTAGATAGAAAATGAGTGAACATGTGCTATATGATAAATAGACTTGGTGACTGGTGATCCAAACCCAGCATTGTTTTAAAAAGACATATAGTAAATGCTAGATGAGGAAAAGGATTAGAGACCTGGAAAGGAAACAAATAGCCGTGGAACTGTGAGGATATGCACAAGACATGGCAATGTCCCTGAATCTGTAAATGGCACAGAAGAAATACAAGCATTTCTTACCTTACAAAAATAAAGATGTGGGATTCTTTTCTTATGAATGTCCAAGGTTGTATTAGATTAAAAAAACCCCAAACTTTACAAGCTGAGAAGAGACATGGATTCTATGGATGATGATTTTCAGTAGTTATAGGAACAAGGAAGAAACATCGCCTGTGCCCAGAGAAATCAGTATCTGTACCCTCTAAAACTTCTTGCACTTCTTTGAAAAGCACCAGGAGTTTGTGACTACAGAAGGGTCCCTGGGATAAATGGCACCCGTACCTTTGGTCTGATGAAGCAAGTATACAGTCTCACTACTTCCAATATTGACTATCAAATGACAGTAGTTAACGTTGTAGAGAAACCATGGCTACCTCATGGGAACTGCATCCTGAGCTCAGAGATGCAGGACAAAAACTTGAATATCTAGCAGAGTAGGATGAGAACAGTTCTTAGACCCCAAAGAAAGGGACTGGACTATATTTTCTCTTCTAATAATCAAAGTTTTTTGCAGGGGTGGTGATGGGGGCGTGTTTTATAGTTGTACCTCTGGCAAATGCTCTCCCTGTGTAATGTGTAGTTTTGCTCTGTTGCTGGCCACCTCGCTTGGCTCTCTTTTAAGTAGTTAACTCAGGTTTGGCTGGGAGAGTCCCAATATTCACCTGTCCAGTAAGTTCCCCCCCCCCCCCCCTTTTTTTTTTTTTTTTTTTTTTTTTTTTTTACAAAACCTGGCCGGGGAGGTCCCAAAATTTCCCTTGCCCGGTAATTCCCCCCCCCCCCTTTTTTTTTTCTTTCAATTTTTTAGATCACTGCTGATTAGAGTACAACTACAAAGGAATTGGTGAGAAAGGACCCTCTTAGCCACTGAGTCTAGCTCCCTGCTGTCTTAGGCAAGCACTAGTTCCTCTTACTCTGTCTTAAAATTGGTTAAATTCTTTGCCCCTTTCACTTCTGTTGAAAGACTGTTCTAGAATCAAGCTATTCTGGTAGAAATCTTCTAATTTCCAAACTTAATGGCTGCTTTTACCCACTTACTCACCTGTCAACATTATTTGTGAAGAGAACTGATGTTTTTCTGGCACTTACTTTCTGGTATTTTTTGTAAATACAATCCCATTTCCTCACAATCTTTTTTTTTTTTTTTCTCTCCTTTTAAACGTAAAATACATGTTTCATTTTCCCCAGTCATCTTCCTAGCTCTTTGCTGGACTTGATATCATTTAGGGTTTAAACTTCCTTGAACATGGCTGACCAAAACTGTGCCCAGTAATCCTGCATGTGGTCTCAGCACTGATATTTCTATTGTAAGTGTGCTCCCTAGTGCGGTATAGGATTGCCATCTCTTTCACTGTTACGCCAGGTGGATGGCTCAGTCTTTGCTATGATCACCAAAGTTGATTCTCTCTTGTTTTCAACTGAGAAGCTCCTAGGTAAAGCAGAAATTTATACATGTTAACACACTCTAAAATTCTTTCATTTTACTTCTGTTATGTCTCTGTAGACTTCAGTTCACTGTGTGGTCTGATCATGCTCTGTTAATGAAATTACCCAACTTTATCAACAGAATTCATCAACCAGCTCCACTGTGTGCCTAGCTCATTGATAAAGCTAATAAACAGGACTCATTTTGAAATGAGTCACTGGAATCCTCCCAGTTTGACGGGGATTACAATAGTGCAACCTGTTGTCATGCATCCTTTAGCTAGTTCACAGGATATACTGCAGTTCTTGTGGTGATGCCCATCTTCTCTTGTGATGACATAATGAGTACTTGAGTGAAACCTAGATTAAAAAAAAAAAGGGCAAATTTTAATTCTACCCTTTTTAAAATTAGGTGGTATAGTCTTTAATCTCTATTCTGTTGTCTTTCTGTTCAACTAGCTTCAGACTAAGCACTTGGGAATTCTGTCGTCTTTTGGACCGTCTGTTCTTTGAAGGGCCATGTGTATTTTAGGTTCTGTTATTACAGCACTGACAGTGACTACCATTATTTACCTTTTTTCTGTTCAGCACCTTTCTGTTTATACTAGGCTGAAAATTACTGTTTTTAGCAGCTTTGAGACTGAAAAAAAAATGGTTGAATAAATTTAGAGTATAGGTGTAGGTGGTTTGGTACAGAATGTAATTACGTAGTCCACTTTTTATCCTCATCTTCTTTTTCATCGGAGTTTCTTAAATGGAACAGTAGAAGTTGATACTCAACCATGCAGGAAAGCAGTTCCAGGAAAAATGTCTTTGAGACCAGAAGAACTGAAGTTGAGGTTCATCCAGCACTTTAAATCAGTAATGTTGGAAGAAGGAGCAATCCTGTCTGCTTCCCTGTGATGACTTCTTTTTCTGCTGCTGCAAGTGTCTATGTGGCTGTATGGCATACCAGGTTGGGAAACTGTTCTGGCTAAAAAGTGACCTAGACAACAGTCAGTAATTTCTCAGCCATATCGGTTCCCTGATGTAGCTTTCTTTCCACAGAAGTGTTGGAAACAAAGGGCAGGGATTGTTTCTTCTGGCAGCAGCACCAGTTTGTTAAAGCATTGAGTTACAGCCTTAATTTGATTTGGAAGTTCAGACTTTCAGAAGTATGCACAAAGCATTCTTGGCACTGTTCTTTTATTAAACTAATAAGGAATCTAGCCGAAGAAGTGCCTTCATAAACTCATCTGCAATTTTAGCTGAACAAATCAAGGCCACTTCTAGGCTGGGCATGGTCTGAAGGTTTAGAAGAGAATTCCTGGACTGTAGAAGTCGACATAGTGCTCCACATGATGCTGTAGCTTCAAGCATGTGAGATGGGGTGTTCAGTCTTGTAGCATGCAAAGCTCCTATATTGCAAATGTGGGCTTTATTTCTATTTTTTTGTATTTCTGTCCCCTGGAGTTTGAAAATACTAGAATCTGAAATTCCCCATCCCCAAAATAGTGTATGCGGTTTCAGCTCCAAACTTCCTGGAATAATTGCAGTAGTTTTAGTGAAACACTGGACCACATTTAGGTTAGGCTGAGGGAATGAACATAACTCCTGCCTTATCAAGCCACCATTGAACTGTTGGTGATAACAACGCTAAAAGGCCTTGCAGAACCTCATTGCACTAGGAATGGCACAAGCGCATAGTAAGATTCAGTAGCCCAAAGAGCTTATCGGCTGCGTATGCAAGGCGCGGAGGGGAAAAGATTTGTACAAGGTCACCCAGCAACGCACTGGCAGAGATTAAAATAAAACTCATATTTTCTGAATTGCTGCTCACTACCCTGTCTGCTAAACAGTTACTTCACTGATCGCATGAGTGTCTCAAATAGTGGAGTAATTAAATGGAGGACTGGCTGGAGAAGTCTCTGCCCTTTCTCACTTGCTTTATCCAAGACTGGTGTAAAAATCAGCTGTCAGAAATGAATGTCTCTATCTGCAGGGAGGAATCTTTCTCTCATCTCCTGTTTACTGGTGATAAGAGGAGCTAGAACTAGGGGCTTAGCAAGAGAAGGGGAAGTGAACTAAGGTGTACTGTTTCCAATGATACCACTGCTGGAGTTTGTCAGAGAGTCACAATTTGGGACTTGTTTAAACAACTGTGCTGTCCTTTACAAAGGATGGTGTTATGCTCAACAAAGGAGGGGTTTGATAAAGTGCAATTGCCACTATTTCTTGGCTGAAGGCTCCAGGAGGTGAGTAGATTTCATTCCCTATGCTCATTGCAGTGTCTTATCTCTGTTCTGGAGCAAATTTTACATTAATCAGGGTATTAACGTTTCATAAACTTTTGGAGGAAGCTAAATGTCTTGAGTGTCTTTTGTGTGTACTGTCCGGTCTCGAACATTAGGTTTAAATCTTGCTTTATTCTCTATTGAACCTGAGTGCTTTAATAACTGTTCCTTTCTTCTTTGCAGCCTCTGTGAACGTGCTTGTTCAAAACTGCAAGATTTACAATGATGCTAGCTGCGATATCTCTGCCGATGGGCAGCTGCTGGCAGCCTTCATTCCCAGCAGTCAAAGAGGCTTCCCTGATGAGGGAATACTGGCTGTGTATTCCCTGGCACCCCACAACTTGGGCGAGATGCTTTACACAAAGCGATTTGGTAAGCATGCAGCGAGAAGTCAGGGTGGGTGGGAGTGTGAGAAGTTACCTCAGAGCTCAGCCTTCAGCAAGAAAGAAGCCTGGATAAAACCAGGCTTGCTAGGGATGAGCCTAGGGGTGGCATGCCTGTGTTGGAGATGAGATCAATAGCCCAACTGAAGTGCATTTACACCAATGCACGCAGCATGGGCAATAAACAGGAGGAGCTGGAAGCCATTGTGCGGCAGGAAAACTATGATGTGGTCGCCATCACGGAAAC